TCGAGGTTAGGCTAATTGTCCTGTAATTTTCAGTCTTTTGCCTTACTCTCTTTTTAAACAGGAGTGTCACATTTGCAATTTTCCAGTCGTCTGGGATCCTCCCTGACTCTAGCGATTCCTGGAAGATCATCACTAACACTTCCATTATCTCCTTAATGCTATCTCCTTAAGAACTCTGGAGTTTAGTCCATCTTGTCCTGGTGATTTATCCACCTTTAGGCCTTTCAGTTTTTCTAGTACCTTCTCCTTGGTGATGGCCACCATACTCAGCTCTGCCCCCTGACTCAAATTTTTGGGTTATTACTTGTGTCTTCCACTGTGAAGACTGATGCAAAGTAATTATTCAGTTCCTCAGCCATTTCCTTGTTCCCCACTACTATCTCTCCAGTATCATTTTCCACCGGTCCAATGTCCACTTTTGCCCTTTATATATCTAAAGAAACTCTTACAGTCCTCCTTTATGTTACTGACTAGCTTACCATCATATTTAATCATCTCCCTCCATATTTCTGTTTTTGTTGCCCTCTGTTGGTCTTTGTAAGCTTCCCAATCCTCTGGTTTCCCACTGCCCTTCGCCACATTGTATGCTTTCTCTTTTGCTTTTATGCTATCCCTGACTTCCCTAGTCAGCCATGGTTGCCTCATCTTCCCTGTACCATGCTTCTTTTCCCTAGGGATGAATTTTTGCTTTATCTCCTGAATTACTCCTTGAAAGACCTGCCATTGCTGTTCCACTGTCTTTCCTGCTAGGCTCCTCTTCCAGTCAATTCTGCCCAGCTCCTCTCTCATGCCTCTGTAGTTGCCTTTATTCAGCTGTAATACCATTACCTCTGATTCTATCTTCTCCCTCTTAAATTGCAGAGTAAGTTCAATCATATTATGGTCACTGCCTCCTCAGGGTTTCTTCACCTTAAGCTCCCTTATCAAGTCCGCCTCATTGCACAACACTATATCCAGTATTACCTGTTCCCTAGTGGGCTCCACCACAAGCTGCTCCAAAAAGCCATTTTGTAGACATTCCACAAATTCCTTTTCTTGCAATCCACAACCCACCTGATTTTCCCAATCTGCCTGAACATTAAAATCCCCTATGATCACCGTAACTTTGCCTTTCTTACACACCTTTTCTATCTCCTGGTGTGTCTTGCACTCCAGCTCCTGACTACTGTTTGGAGGCCTGTACATAACTCCAACTATGGTTTTTTTACCTCTGCAGTTCCTCAACTCTACCCACATAGATTCTACACCATCTGGCCCTACTTTGTTTCTTACTATTGAGTTAATTTAATTTTTACTAATAAGGCAACACACCCCCTCTGCCCATCTGCCTATCTTTTCGACAAGATGTATATCCTTGGATATTCAGCTTCCAACCTGGATTCCCTTGCAGCCATGTCTCTGTGATGCCCACCATGTCATATCTGCCAATTTTGATCTACGCCACTAGCTCATTTACCTTCTTTCTTATACTGCATGCACCTTCAGTCCTGTATTAACCATCCCTCTTCTCATTGCCATTAGTTTATCCTGTATGCTTGAAGTTTGATTCCTAACCCTTTTCAAACACTGTCCTATTTGTGTCTGCACTGGAGACTTTAATAACCTTTCTCGAGTTCTCCTTTCCTGTCATTTTTTTCATATTTTTCCAGGCAGTTGAATCCACCCCTACAGATGTTAGCCTGCTGCTTTGCTCCCCACTGGGGGAAATTTTACCTTTCCCTTCCTCCCTACTTTCAGGTTAAAAGTCCTGTTGACCAGCCTATTTACCCTTTTCGCTGGAACATTGGTCCCAGCTCAGTTCAAGTGGAGACTGTCCCAGTGGTACAGATCTTTCATGTTCCAATACTGATACCAGTGCCCCATGAAAAGGAGCCCCTCTTTCCCACACCACTCCTTTAGCCACTTGTTTACTTCCCTTATTCTCATGTCCCTATGCCAATTAGCACATGGATCGGACAGTAATCTGGAGATTATAACCCTTGAGGACCTGCTCTTTAACTTGGTTCCCAGCTCCTGATAATCCCTGAACAGGCCCTCTTTCCTCATCTTGCCAATGTTGTTTGTTCCGATGTGGACCACGACAACTGGATGCTCCCCCTCCCGCTCCAATATCCTTTCAAGCAGGTCACAGATACACCTTACCCTGGCACCAGGCAGGCAACACACCATGCGGGACTCTCATTCCTGCTTACAAAGGATACTATCCATTCCCCTGATTATATAATCCCCTACAACTGCCACTTGTCTTTTTGCTCCCTCCTCTTGAATGGCCTCCCGTACTACGGTGCAGCGGTCAGCTGGCTCATCCTCCCTGCAGCCCTTTTCCTCATCCACACAGGGAGCAAGTACCTCATACCTGTTCTGAGTTCTGAGGAAGGGTCACCAGATCCGGAACATTAATTCTGATTGTTTCTTCACAGAAGCTGCCAGACCTGCTGAGCTTTTCCAGCAACTTCTGTTTTTGTACCTCATACTTGTTGGACAAGGTCAAGATTTGAGGGTCCTCTTTTCCTGACTGCAGGATCCCTCTATCTGCCTCATTTGCAGTCACCCCCTGATGACTCTGGCCATTGTGGGCCAAAGGGCCTGCTCCTGTGCTGTACTGTTCTATGTTCCATGTTCTAGAGCACATCACTCAGACCCTGTAAGATACTGCCCACTGGACTAGTAATTCAGAGGCCCAGACTAATGGCCAGGGATCACACATTCAAATCCCACCACAACAACTGTTGGATTGAATTTAAATCCAACTAATTAATCTGGAATCAAAAAACTGGTTGCAAATGCTTTGTGTACTGCAGAGATGGAATTTAGACTATCCTGACATGTGACTCCAGACTTAAAGCTATGTGATTGAATCTTAACTGTTCTTTGACGGCTTCTAGAATACCCCTTAGGTTAAGATTGATGATGGGAAGGCTCTTGTGGCTCAGGGATAGTGTCTTACCCCTAGACCAGGAGGCCTTCGTTCAAGTCCCACCTGCTCGAGAGGTTTGTAACAACATCTCTGAACAGGTTGATCAGAAAAATAGGTTAAATTTTTTTTAAAAAACTGACAAACAT